ACTGCATGATTTTCATGACCATGCTCATAACAAGGATAACTTTTCGCCAAACTATTCATTAAAATACTTCCAATGAATTTGTCTTTCCTCAGGAAATTTTACGGGTCTCGAGTCTTCCTTTGTGAAAAATTAGTCTTCACAAGGTCGACAAAAGTTGAGTTCTGCCGTCTTGGACCGTGGCTGTGCTTTTTTACCAAGTCTACGAGACACTTCATCTGCGGCTCAATTCATCGGGGGAAGATTTCTCACGGTGTGCGAGTCACCAAATGACCAATCGGCCAATCGTTGATCATCGCTCTTAATTGAGACTCGCCTATAGCCTCGACTTTGTATTATAGCTTTGCCAATTTTCAAAATAATTGTTTGCGTCATCTTTGTTTCAACACATTCATCTGAATGAGATCAGGGAACTGGTCCCTATGTGACTTCTGTAGTCTAGCATTTTTTCACGGTTTTGCTGTCCAGGGTTGTATTGTCATAGCTATGCTCTCAGCAACTTCCTAACTGGCTGGTAACAAACTACACTACGCGGGCGAATTCAATATTAGGCTTATTGATTTATTTGATGAATTGGGTTTTGAGATGAGAGGCCTGAATGATTTCGATTTTCTGGGTAGGTCTGTGGGCTAACATAATGATGGAGAAATTAACAACACCAAAAACTACCCTGGTATGGCCAAGCCCCGTGCTGGTTGATTTATTTGCCCCAGTGATACCATGTTCCATTGATTGTAAACTGGAGCGGCTTTGCTTTCTAAATATCGGTTACCGAAAAGCTGATAAGATGCATATTTTTAGGTAGTTTTCTTTAACTAACTAGTCATTTGAGTTCTAGGGAATAAGCTTAACCTGCATGTCTAGGGTTCTCTTGATTCGGGCTTTGCTTTCTATCATGTCATGGTTCTGGTAACCTATCGCCACGACTTGGTGGTCTCGATGATCTGTGTTCTCTCTGGGGTTGTTCGATAAGCAATTGGCCTTGTTCAGTCAAGCACAGGCGGTAGCCTTATGGTGTTGATCTGTTTTGTGGCGTAGTATACCGATATGTGTACCAACCTTAGTTAAGTTTACGTTTCGCCGATGGCCGGAAGTGGTGTGCCTCCGTCTCATCTGAAAAGGCGGGTGGAGGGATCCGTGGGTGGGCCCAGGGTTTATCTTGAAATTGAGGTGCGCGCTAATAAGTACCAGACCCTCGTTGAATACACTTTTTCCTGTCATAGCACGGTGTCGGAGACAACCATTGATGAAAAACCCCTCCGCAATAGCCTAAGGAGGTTGGTCGGCACAAACCGCATCTGTGTGCGTGGTTGGTTACTGACGGCTTCCTTTGCATGATTACAGATTTGCGGCGGCTGCGGGCTATCCGTTAGTTGGATGCGGTTCTGGCCGGGGCGCCGTATCCACAAGGGAATCACAGGTATATTGTAATTCGGAAAGAATGAAGGATGACTCAGCTACAATTTCGCGTAATGCGTGGGCAGACTTGGAGATTCAGCGAAGACTTCATAGAAAATGCTCGGAGCATGGACGACTGTTCGACCACTGCAAGAGATATCGCTAAGGCGTAGCTCATGAGGGACCAAGGGAAGTCAAGAAAAGGCGCTTCCTTTGACATTCAACCTTGGAATCGGTCAAAAATTTAACCGGGGCCGTCAATTTGTGGGATGTGAAGCGGTAATTAAACGCTAAAGGACTAGTTGGACAAGTTAATGAGCTTGTGCGCTTTGGTTCGCTTTCTCGGTTATCGTGACGCGAGGTGACCAGTGATCTCTTATAACGACGCATACCAGCCAACACAAACATTCTATTATCCTGAGCCCAGGTGGGTATGTGCTTTTCACAATTCACCAAGGGAAAAAGGGAAGCGATGTATTTTTTATCTCAGGGAATTATGAGTTAAGCCAGACAGGGTCCCAAAGAATATGATACAATATAGGTGGGGACGACAAAAAGGGTAACAGTCTTTAGTTTGAAGCTTTGGATGAAGATTGCCGGGCATGGACGTGGGTGCCATTGCTATAAATCCTCAGTAAGCGGGGGCGATAATTGAAGGCTCTTGGTCAGCCAGTTTACAGACAGTCAAACATTGATTTTGAGGATATGAAGACCAAAATGGTGTGGCCCATAGTATGGTCGCGATCTCCTTTTGATTCATAGAAGTCGGTTGACCTCGTCGCAACTTGGTCTTGTCAAGGAGACTTAATAGAACGCACCTAGACCAAAGTCCTCTGCCATAGTAGTTATCATAATTCGCAACATCAGATATTCGCGTTAGTGCATTCTCAAACGTTTCGCAGGCAGCATCAGTGAGTGCTGTCATTCGCCGCACCAAACTACGAACTCGTCAAAGAAGCAAGTGAAGTCAATCCCTCGACCAACGTTCTGCCGAAAACGGTTACACTCCTCTTTCTGTCCTGGTCTATCTATCTACTCGACCCTTTATCCAACTTCCGCCCTATCAC